AACACTTTAAAAACAAACCACAATACTTCTTAAACGCACCAAAACACCTTCAATACACACCATTAAAACGTTAATCGTTACATTCCGCAATCTGTTTGTAAAAAAAAGCATACACTGTAATGCAAACCATAAATGTCATAAAAGCATCATGAATAACTACAACCCAAACCACTTTTCACTTTTCTAGCAAAAATTATCGCAAGATGAAATGATCAAGTGCTCATTTCTTTCATCATTGCTTACAGGTGTGACATCAAACAGGTCCGAGTCAGACTACACTAGTTTGGGGTTGGCATTCAAAACCATTGAGGAAGCAAAACAATTCTACAAGAACTATGCTCACGATCTTGGCTTTAGCGTGAGGGACATGGGAGCTGTCAAACGTTCTACAAAAAGACAGCCAACCAAAACAGCACGATGTGCTAGGTATTGCTGCAGCAAAGAAGGATACAAGACCACAAGCAAGTCAAATCCCAAGAATAAAGGATCAATAGATGTGAAGGCTTATCAACGTGCTGTACCAGAAACTAGAGTTGGCTGCCCAGCTATAATCAAATTCAGATATGATATCGAGAAGGATGAATGGCTGCTGGACAAGTGGATAACAGAACACAACCATGATCTCCTCCCTCCAAAATTCAAACATCTCTTGAGGTCGAACAAGGGGATCTCAGAAATGCATGCAATGGTCGCAAAAGTGCATGCAGATTGTGGAGTTTCACTACGGAAATCATATGAGTTGTTCACCACAACTTCAGGGGGGAGGGAGAATGTACCTTTTACCCCTCATGATCTGAAGAACTATATCACAAGGACAAGGCAGAAATCAATGAAACCAGGCGAAGCAACTATACTTCTTGAACATTTTCGCCATGAAGCTTACAAGAATCCATCATTCTTCTATGAAATTGAGGTAGATAGTAACGAAGATATTGCAAGTATATTATGGGCTGATGCAAGAATGCGGTTTGACTACAGTTGCTTCGGAGATACGATCAGCTTCGACACCACATACAGGACAAACCAGAATTATCGTCCACTAGGTCAGTATTCCTTGCACTAGTTAATTTTCTTGAGATTTCGAAGTTGAATGCATACCAAACATTACATAATGCATTAGGAGGTTTCTGGTGGGATTTTGCAAATGTTGTGGTTTGCTTTGTGAGGTTTGTGGTTTCCTTTGTGAGGTTTGTGGTTTGCATTAATAGGTTTCTGGTCTGCTTCCGCAAATGTTGTGGTTTGCTTTGTGAGGTTTGTGGTCTGTTTTATAAGATTTGTGGTGTGCATTAGAAGGTTTGTGGTTTGCATTAAGAAGGATTCCTTGCACTAGATAATTTTCTTGTGATATTTTGAAATTGAATGCAAACCAAACATTACGCAATGCATACCACAAACCTCCTAAACCATACTAAAAACGTCCTGAAGCACACCATATATATAAAAAAAGACAGCCTTTGTTTGTTTCAATGTTTAATTCTATGTTGTTCTTTTTTTTATTTTTAATTTACAGCTTTGTTTGTTGGCTTCAACCACCATCGTGCACTTTGCATCTTCGGGGCTGCTCTCCTATATGATGAAACAACCGCTACATTCAAGTGGTTGTTCGATGCATTCTTGAAATGTATGTCAGGCAGCCGACCAACATCAATATTCACCGACCAAGCTGCTGCAATCGCCGCTGGGATTAGATCCGTCATTCCTGAAGCATTCCATGGCTTGTGTACTTTTCATATCAAGCAGAATGCAATGAAGCATCTCGACACCACAAACACAAACATTCTAGAAGATCTACAATATGTCACTTTTGGAGTAGAAAATGAGGAAGAATTTGAGTACAATTGGTCAAGGTTGCTAGACACATATTATCCAGAAGAAGGCACCAATCCAAGGAACTGGTTGGATTCAATTTACAAGGTGAGAAAACAGTGGTCTTCAGCATGGATTAAGGACCACTTCACAGCTCGTATGCGAAGCTCATAGCTGAGTGAGTCTTGTAACAGCAACCTCCGAAACTACCTTCAACCAGATGACAACCTAGTTGAGTTCTTCACATACTTCAACAAGTTGCTCGAACGGAAAAGATCAGACGAAATGGACATGGATTATCAAATGGCAAACACAGTCCCAAACAACATGTACGTATTACTTCCTTTATTTGAACTTTTTATACTGTAGAATGCATCCACAGAACAGTTGAATACAACCCAGATACCACCTAAACCAACCCAAAAACCCTACAATCCACACCACAGACAACCTAATCCAAACCATAAACACCACAATGCACACCGCAAAAGCTTAAACAACCCAGATATCACCTAAACCAACCCAAAAACCCTACAATCCACACCACAGACCACCTAATACAACCCATAAACACCACAATCCACACCACACACGGCTTAAAATAACCCATAAATCCCACAATCCGCACCACAAACAGTACAATACATACCATAAAATCATTAATGTAGACAAGATGTTTTATGAATGATTGTATGTTGTATGCCATCTTCCAACAGGTATGACAGAAGCCCACTTGTTCAGCAAGTCGCAAAATTATACACAACTAAGATCTACAGTTCTTTCCTTGAGGAGTATTCAGAAAGCCTTGCTTTTTTTGTGTTCCGGAATGAATCTATGGATAGAGATGGAATGAAGGCTTATGAAGTGAAGAAACTGGGAGGATTCGGCAAAAGAGTCGTGTTAGTGAACAAAGAGGAGAAGAAATACTAGTGCTCATGTCGTTTGTTTGAAAGTTCAGGCTGGTTGTGCAGACATGTAATCAGGCAGATAGAGATGGTTGGATTCAATGGTGATGATATTGAGCAATTGACTATCCCTAAGGAATACATTCTGCCACGATGGACGAGAGATGCCAAATCTGGAGAGAAGTTCACAATAAACACAACAGAATGTGCTGCAACAGATACTTATGCAGGGAGGTATCAAGAACTGTGTGCTAGCATGGTTATCCTAGCAACAAAAGTCTCAATGAATGACAAGGTCTTCTCAATGGTTAAGGAGAAGATTGCAGAGCTCACTAAACTAGCTTTCCAAAGCCTTCAGACTCAAGAAACTCAGCAAACAGTACCTGGTAATTTCACACATCTTGTTAGCATCCCTACTTATATTCACCAGTAATTGCTTAATCCAAGCCACTAATGATCTAATGTAAACCATAAACATCTTAATCCAATCCACTAATTGCTTAATCCCTACTTATGTTCACCAGTATCTTGCATATTGCTTTTTCAACAGATGGAACCACCAGTACATCACCCTCACAAAGCGCTGGTGCTTCAGCTACAAATGACAAATATGCCAATGTGAAGGGATTCAAGGCTCGAAAAGACTCATGGAAATCAAAGAAGAGGCCAAGAGGTGGACTTGAGGTAGCGCTGGAGAGGGCTAGAAAGCAAAGAATTGATGAACAGGCCGCCAACAAGCGTTACAAAAGCAACAATGAGTGATTAGTTTCCTTGTTGTTATCCGTGTTTTTTTTATCTGTCATAAACTTTTAGATTTCAATGACAACTATGAGACAAATATGAACACAGATACAGATGAATACAACCCAGATACCACCTAAACCAACCCAAAAACCCCACAATCCACACCACATACCACGTAATCCAAACCATAAACACCACAATGCACACCGAACAAGGTTAAACAACCCAGATACCACCTAAACCAACCCAAAAACGCTACAATCCACACCACAGACCACCTAATCCAAACCATAAACACTACAAACCACACCATACAGGAAAGAAAACAAACTACGAAACCTCTTAACAAAACCAAACCACAAACATATGGAAACTTTCCAGAACACTCATTAAGCAAACCACTTATGTATTAACACAAACCACTTGTCTTATAATACACACCATACACGACGAACACAAATCCTCTTAATCAACACCATTAACACACTAAAACACATATTAACACACTGAAATCTGAAACTGTTCGTGCAAATGCATGCTATAATCAGCTAGTCCACCTTGCGATCAAACTCCAAACTCTTCTTCTTCACCTCTTCAAGTACACTGTTCTCCTTGTTCAGCAGCAATGTTAATGTGATCTCATCCCGCCTCTGATTGATTTGTTTTTGCCACTTCCTCATAGCTGGATGCAGTTTGCCATCCCAAAACTCAGCAAAATTCATAGCAAAAACACCACAGTCAACCCCACCATGTTGTCTCACCCCTCGCATTCTAACCCACTTGAATTCTTCAAATTTGAAGGGCTCTTCTCTGCAGGCAGGAATGTATTCTGTGGCATAGCGGACCACCATATCCGCAACAGCACGAAACTTGGTATCAAGTTCGTCAGGGTAAAGGCTGTCAAGATAATCATACCGTTTGTTCTTCAGATTCACTACATACATCCTGTAGTGGTCATCAGAACAGTGGGGGAACATCCACTGCATGCAGAACGAAAACAAGTCAGTACTCCAAAAGCACAATGAAGAAAAAACACACATGAAACAATGTAGCAAATCTGACTAAAAAAAATACATACATAATCACATTGTGAGAAATCCAAACCATCTGGTATCCACTTGCAACTTGTAATAATTTCATCAGTCTCTTCAAAAAAATTAGGCAGTGGTCCAGAGTTGTTCACTATCCCCTGCACTTTTTGCTACAAGGTAGAACACAACATAAACACAGTAAAACAAACCAGACGTATTAAAATGCACACCACAAAAACCCTAAAACAAACCAGACGTATTATAATGCACACCACAAAAACCCTAAAACAAACCAGACGTCTTATAATGCACAACACAAAACCCTTAAACCAAACCAGACGTATTATAATGCACACCACAAAAACCCTAAAACAAAACAGAACTAGCAGAAAATGTAACTCACCGCCAGCCCTGTATAGAACACCCATCTTTTCAGTTGCCCTCTTCTCACTTGCTCCCGATTCAGATAGGCAGCATAGCAGTCAATAACATTCACACTCACACATTTCTCATGTGCCAAAGTCTCTGTGTCTTTTCTATACAAGCAATCGAATCCATCAACACGACTGAAAAGGATTTCCTTCCTATTTTTCATAATCCATAACAAACAAAACAGTCGGCATTAGAAAAGTACTAATAAGCACTATATAAAAAAATATATACAAACAACCGCATATGTATGAAATTTATACACATTAACTTACAAGTTATTCGAATCCCTTGCATATCGCAACACAGCACCCTTCAACACATCAATATCAACACCGGATGAGCTTGCTGCATTCTTCACTTTAAATTTTTTCTGATTTTTAAAGCAACCCACAAATTAGATAAAACAATACTAAAAACAACTAACACAAACCACAAATGCGATAAACCACACTACAAACACAAACCAAAACTGAAACATTGTACAACAAATTACCTTTCCCTTCATAACTAGCTGTCTCAATGTTAAATCTCCACTACCATCACCACCCTCAAGCACCTCACCAGCATCAGCTTCTTTCCTTTTCTCATCAACCACCGCATCTTCACAAACATCCCCCATAGCAGACTACAGAAACCAAACCACAAAAGTTTTTAACAAAACCAGATATATGTAAACCACACTACTAACAAATGCAAAACAACCAACTACAAAAGATATGACAAACAAACCAAAAACAGTATAATCCACACCACAAATATTCAAACACAAAACAGTTAAAATACCTTTACGACCTTCTCAACCAAGTTATCCAACTTAGCAGCATCAACACCATCAACATTGTCATCTCCATCACCACCTTGTCCCTTTTCCTCACAGCTGTCCATCTCCATCACCTTCTTAGCATTCTCAGAATCAGCTTCTTTCCTTTTCTCATCAACCACCACATCTTCACAAACATCCCCCATAGCAGACTACAGAAACCAAACCACAAAAGTTTTTAACAAAACCAGATATATGTAAACCACACTACTAACAAATGAAAAACAACCAACTACAAAAGACATGACAAACAAACCAAAAACAGTATAATCCACACCACAAATATTCAAACACAAAACAGTAAAAATACCTTTACGACCTTCTCAACCAAGTTATCCAACTTAGCAGCATCAACACCATCAACATTGTCATCTCCATCATCACCTTGTCCCTTTTCCTCACAGCTGTCCATCTCCATCACCTTCGTAGCATTCTCAGAATCAACACTTTTTTGTGTCATCTCCATTGTCAGATTATCAAGATGATCATCAAGTCCCTCCGAATCTAATACTCCCTTAGGAGAGGTATCATCATTAGCAGTGCCAGCAGGATCATTGTGACCAACATCTGGCAACACAACATCAACACTACCAGCACCATCCTTATCCATCTCCATTGACAAATCATCAAGACCCGGGGACTTTGGACTGTTAGCACCAGTCTCATCATCAGCATTGGCAGCAGATGCATTGCAACCGACATCATTGGTTCCCTTAGCAACAACAACATCATCAACTCTATCAGTGAAATCGACATTATCTTCAGGACTATCCTCTGGTTGCTGCCCCTCCAGCATCTTTATATGATCATCAACTTGTTCAATGCTCGAACTGTAATGAGCAGCCATCCTCAACAAAGCCCTCTTATAACTTTCCATGTCATTCTTTAACTGATATGCCTACAAAAACACGAAAACAGCCAAAGTTACTGAACAGCCCAAAAGCAAACCATAAACCTTCTAAAGAATCTCACATTCCTTTTAATGAACACCTAAAACACACTTATACAAACCACATATGTTTGAGTTCTCACAGAAAAACACCTACCAAACGATGAGTACCATAAAATATTCCTTTAACGAAGTAATGCAAACCACTATTCTTTTAATAGAAACCACAAGTATACTAAAGCAAGCCAAAGAACAAACAACAGAAAACACAACTAACCAGCACATGAATAAAATAAAGTATTCCGTAAACAAACTAATGCAAACCACTATACTTGTAAAGCACACTGAAAGTACTCTAAAGAAAGACATAAAACGAATAACACAGAAAAATCACTCACTTCTTCAACCGAATGAATACCATCCAAGTTGAGGTCAAGATGGGGAAGCTTCGGAAGATCCCCTTCCCTCTCCATATCAAGATCATCAACCGGCCTTTTCCTCTTTGAACCCTGCACACGTCCTCGTCCCATTGGTTGACTGGAGGTTGCTTGTTCTTCCACCACTACATCTCGATGACCAATAGTGAGATGACCTTCGTCCATCAGTACTTGAAAAGCAGCACTTGCGACTTTGTACGACCTATGCCTACAGGTCGGTATGGGCAGCTAAGGGGGGTTCTTCACACGGTCAAGAATCGAAATCTGCCACATATACAAACAGACAGAAGTCAAGCAACCACAAACAAACTGTGCCAGAAAGGTTATAATACACACCACACAACCAGGGGGGCAAAAGCAAACCATAAATATTCTTAAACAAACCATAAACATCTTCAACCACACCACATTCGTCAATAAACAAACCATAAATGATAAACAATACCAGAAACATTATAACAAAGGGGGGTAAAGCAAACCATAAATATTCTTAAACAAACCATAAACATCTTCAACCACACCACATTCGTCAATAAAGAAACCATAAATGAAAAACAATACCAGAAACATTATAACACAGGGGGGGGCGGCAAAAGCAAACCATTAAAACTCTTAAACAAACCATAAATATCTTCAACCACACCACATTCGTCAATAAACAAACCATAAATGAAACAGTAAACCAAAATTCGAAAAGGGGTATATTTATTCACTTACAAAAAGAAGATGAACGTCACCAGGGAACTTTGACTTTGATTGAACCACTTCAACCATACTGTCATTAAAATGGTCAGCCACATGCTTACACCAATTATATTGGGTGAAGTCAGCAACCATTTCATCTTGCAAAAAACCAGCATAGGAGAGGTTAATCTTCAAATTTCCACTGGGACAAAGATCTGCCTCCATTGCATACAGTACAAAAAGATCCCTCCACTTCTTATTGTCCCTCTCCTCTTCCAATGCCAGTTTAACGTTTGCCAATGACGCCTTTCCTTTCTTAGTATTGGAAAGCCCTAACTCAACACCTGTGCCTCTAGGCTGCACTGAACATATCCAGCTTAACAGTATACGGTCCACGCGGCAAACCATAGACTCTCTCCACATCTGCCTCTCCAATTCTAAACTTCCCTGACCGAAGCAGCGGGAAAGACCTTGAACTCACATCAAAGCTTTTGCAAAGCCATTCAGTAAAATTATCCGGGAGTCTCGTAAGCTTAACCCTCGACACACCCCTAAAACCCAGAGGATCAAGCATCTGCAGTTTTTCTTCACTTGTACTGTCAGCATCCATGATGGCATGAATACGATTAGTATTACTACGATGCCTCTTATCCGGCTTTCCAGGCACAGGAGAAACACCATCTTTCTCTCGCTTAGGTGTTGCAACTTTTTCTTTTTCTTTCCCCTTTACTGCACCATCTTTCTCTTGCTTAGGTGTTGGAACTTTTTCATTTTCTTTCCCCTTTACTGCACGTTTCTTAGCAGGTGCCATGCCTACAAAGCAACCAAAACACAAACCAACATAAGCAATCTCATACCAGAACATATAAAATCCAAACCATTAAGGGCCTAATGCAAACTGTAAACCCATGAAAACAATCCAATAATCAAATTTAAAGCAGACAAACAACAACTCCAAATGAACCACCAACATCACCCTGGAAATACACCAGAAAGGCCCCAATCCAACCCACAAACACCCTAAATGTCACCAAACACAAAGCGCACCACCAAATAAAAGAACAAAACAATAGAACTTCTGAACACCACCACAAACGACTCAATAATCAGATGTAAAGGAGACAAACAACAACTGCAAATGGACACCAGTAAATCTTCTAAACCAAACTGTGAAATCCGAAACACAAACCACAAAACCTTTTAAAAGAACCACCAACAGAAGCCTGAAAATACACAATAGTTTATTAAAACCCTCCAGAAAGGCCCCAATCCAACCCACAAACACCCTAACTGTCACCAAACACAAAGCGAACCACCAAAATATAGAACAAAACAACAGAACTACTAAACAACACCACAAACGACTCATGAGAAACCAGAAACCCTAAAATACACAATAGTTTTATTAAAACCCTCCAGAAAGGCCCCAATCCAAGCCACAAACACCCTAACTGTCACCAAACATAAAGCGCACCACCAAAATATAGAAAAAAAACAACAGAACTACTAAACAACACCACAAACGACTCATGAGAAACCAGAAACCCTAAAATAATCAAAGCACACCACAAAAATGAAGAAACATCCAACAAAACCTAACCAGAACGCACAACTATGAAATTTCCTCGTCTCCTTCAACAAATTTAGACTGCATGCGTCAAAACATCGCAGAAAACTGGAAAACGAAAGTAACAGAGGGCAAACATGAAAACGAAGGTTGTAAATTCAATAGCAGAAGCAAGCAATGACAATGCTAACGAAAACGAAAACGGCGACGCCAAACTAACACCATACAAGTGGAACTTCGGCGACGCCAAACGACAACGGCGACTTCGCAGACCAAAACTGACGACGGAGGAGAAGACAGTTCCAGTTTATCGGAGGAAATCACCGGCATACCTCGAAATTCACTTCGGCGACGGAGGAAACAGAATCGCGCGAAGGAAATCCACAAGCCGCAGACGAAATCGCTCGATGCAGATGGAAATTTGGTGGCGAGAACAGGGAGACCGAAGGAGACGTCCCGTCGGAGAGCAGTTCGTGAGCAGTTCGTGAGCAGAGGGGAAAGGGGAAAGCGGAAAACTGAAATGTCTCAACGCGCGCTTCAATGAATTTTATTATTATTTTTGAATTTCAAAATTAATGCCAGGTAAAAGAAAACAATTATTTAATTATTGTGCAGTTATTATTGTGCAGTTACCCTTATACCCCTGTTGTTATAATAACAACACCTTAGGTGTTGTTATGCTATCCAGAGCCGGTATAAACCTATGACTTGTTAGATTTGCAATTTGCATCAATATTTTTGTTGTACGTTGCCGAATCAACACCTAGGGAGTCTGAGCCACGGCCCACGGGTCACCTTTCGTTCGTAGCTACTGCAAATTTCTAATATCCCGGCCGCCTCTTTCTGTCGTTCTTTATCTGTCCTTTCGGCTGCGTAGAAGACTGGAAAGTATGGCTGATGAGGAAGAAATTCTGCTAGAAGTAGAGGCGGTGCAAGCGGTTTACGGAGATGATTGCGCCGTCCTTGATTCTTTCCCTCCCCATCTCCACCTCCACATGAAGCCCAGAACCGCCGATATCTCTTCACAACAGGTTCCTAACCCTTTGAATCGATTATTTACCGCAGCTTATATCTTTGCAGTGTATGACCTTTTAACGCCCCGCAATACGAGATACTGTCACGCCCTGGTGGGTAGTTGAGAGAATTCTGCTCGGATTTTTGGCTGGAGCTCATATTTTCAATTCTTAGATGTAACTAGCAGAAATTCGTCTCCCAATTCAGTCGAGTAATTACAGTCCCAAGCTCTAGTTTCCTCGAGTTGGGTAGTAAATCCCGTTAAAGGATATATCTGGGTAACTCCCTTGGAAGCAAGGGCCCAAATTTTTGGTTTTCTTAATGTTGCCATTGGTTCCAGACCAGTGCTTTAACACAATTGATTGTATTTAAAGATGATTAATGGTGCCAATTGTTGATGATTTGCTATTCAAGATTGTTCAGTTTTATTGGTGCATGCTCTGGGCACTTGTTGTCGTGAATTTATTTATCTACGACTGGGCTAAAGTTGCAATCTTGTGATATTGTCTCATGTTGAAGTTTGTGGAAGCATTGATCAGCATAAGAGCAGGCCTCCAGGTAGTCTGCTGCATGCTTTGGATTTCTAGGAAACTGTGCTTTGACCTGCAAAATAATCCAACCCACTACTAAATCTTGTTGATTTCCTTGTGAAGTATCCAGAAGAACCACCCGGTATCAGCATCATCGAGTCCAAGGGCCTTGATGAACGAAGGCAAAATGAACTGTTAACAAGTATAAAGGACAAAGCGCAGGAGCTCACCTCATGCTTAATGCTTGTAGCACTTTGCGAGGTAATCTCCATCGCATATATGCTAATGTGACACCTGATTGAGAAGGCTGCACCCTGTAGAACCTGAACTTGATTTCCCTAGATATGTACACTAGTTTCTTCTTGTGTTTACAGAGACCTATCACATTAGTCATTATATTGTCTTTCTGTTCTTTCGACACTTGTGCCTTTTATGGTACTACTAATACTATTTTACAATTTAGTAGTTTAGCTATGCTGGGTGCCGGGTGGCATAGGTAGTTGGTGCTGCACAAAGTTGGCATATGTTTGAAACTTAAGCCGTGCGTTCTGAAAGAAACTAATGGAGAGAGATAACTCAGTCTTCTTCAGCTGTAAACTGTTATCGTAGTTAGCCGTAATTTCAGTATATTGCTATCACATGAATGAGCACTCTCTTCTCTATGTATAAAAAATTATCTGAACATTTTTCAGTAAAATTTCAGGCAGCAGTGGAGAAGCTTTCGATCATGAATCACCCTGACGGTGAATGTCCTTTGTGTTTATATCCTTTGGTTCTAGAAAAATTAGAGGGAGAATCCTTGTCATTTATGAAGTTGATGTCTTGTTTTCATTGCTTTCACAGGTAATTGTATTTCATTCTAACAGTCTAAGTTGTTCCTTTTGTTTCTGCTATCTAATTCTTTTACCTTGTACATTATTATCCCAGTGAATGCATTATAAGATGGTGGGCTTGGCTTCAAAAGCAGAAGGAGCACACCAGTGCATCATCTGCCACTACGCCGCAGCGAATCAGACCAGGAAATAAGATGGGTATGTATAATGATGCGATTTTGTGAGGAAATTATATGGTTGCACATGTTATACGAAACCAAGGTGAGGATTGGATTTTGTTTTTAGTTTTGCTATGAGCGGTGGCTGCGGAGCCATAGCAGTGTTTTCCTAAGTTGCTATTATTGCATTGCCCAAAATTTGTTGTGAAAAGTTACTCTCTATCATTTGTTCCTTTCGCATATGTGTAGTGGACTTGTTTATCATATTACATAAGCATGGGGCATTAATATGCCTCTGAACTGGCAACTCTGCAGGAACAGATGACAGCATGGGGAAATGTCCAGTTTGTCGGAAGAGTTTTCATGCCAAGGATTTGGAACATGTTCTTGACTTGGTTGGAACTCATTCCTCTCGACTGGTATTGGCTTTCGATTATTGTTATTGGTCGTTTTCAGTACCTTTATTTTGGCCCCTTCGTACTAGCGGTATAAGAAAGCCACCCTAGTACATTGCTAACGTAAGTGATGAGACTCCACTGTTTTCTTTATTGATAAATCAGAGTTCGAACAACAATGGACCTAAGGATGATGATGATGTTGATGATAATGATGATGATAATCTGAAGGTGTTCGACTCTCAGTCGGAGCATACTAGAAGAGAGAAATTTGATGCTATACTAAAATTACAAGAAGAATGCAACGGCCTGATAGAACCGAAAAAGAGTATAGTGGTTTTGCCTGGCATGTTTCTTCCACGGCCTCTGGCAGCGCCTACTCCTTCATCAAATGAAGAAACCATAGATCAAGAACCAAGAGAAGCTCCACCTCTCTCTGGGAATTTTTCTCGTAATACTTCAGGCCGAGCTGATGGCTTTGCGAAGCGTCGGAACCCTAACAGGAGGAACCGGAATCCACAGAGCTCACAAACACAGGCCAGACATTGGGTGAGGAAAGAGAATGGTACTTCAAGCTGAGTACCTTTCGTATATAAAACTTTCTTAGGACTAATGGGGCTCATTATTTATCATCCCATCGTTGTTTGGCTATTTCTTTTTCATTCCAGAAACTATCATAGTTTCGTAAGTGGTATAAATGGAGCCATGCTCCGACCCCATGGCTTATTTGTGAGACTTGACTTGTGGTTTATCTGTTGTTTGTTGGGTGATCTGTGTCCTAGATCGTAATCTCTGATTCTTTCATTAAAAAAAAAAAAAAAACCAAAAAACCAAAAATAAAAATAAAATGAACATAATAAAAAGAAAGATAAATAAATTTCGGAGCTCTTATGCTAGCGTGTAGGGCTGGGCATGCGGGCGGATCATCTGCGGGTTTGGGCCGACCCACCCGCATTTGACCCGAATTTCGTTAAGTGGGTGGGTCTATGGGTGAGTGACGGGTTGCGCTGGGAGCCATCTGCCGGGTGGTGGGTGGGTTGTGGGTGGGTGCGCGGGTGACCCGCTCAACCCAACAACAAAAAGATCAAAGTCGTCGGCGCTAGAGAGGGGACTGGGGAGAGTGGAGACGTTAGACATAAACTAGGACTGCTCCTGGAGTTTGAACCTCAAAGCCAACCTTCCAAATAGCGATCCCCTCTTCTTCCCTTTATTTTTTCCTCTAATTCTTGTGCCTAGATCACTGCTCTTTCCTTTGTGGAATTATTTTTCTTAGTTCCTTGCACCTGATAATCATCTCAATCCGTAGAAAACTCTTTCATAATAGAATTTCTATCCATTTTAAGAACTAATTCGACATTTTTCGCCCTATTTCATCTTCTTGTTTCCCCAGATAACTCTCTTCGCCTATTATCATGTCAAGTTGACTCCTTTATATTATATACATTGTGATGTGGGTGAACCCACAAACCCACCCAAATCATCCACCATCTGCCCGACCCAACTCGAGACTAAATGTGGATGGGTGGTGGGTTAAAAATTATCAATCCGTTTAAGCGCGGGTGGGTGCATTTTATGGTCAAAATTCACCCTACCCACCCAATGCCCACCCTAGCTAGCGTGTATCAACGTCTACCACCATGCTTCCATTATTATATTACCACCATTGTATCGCTATTAGTATACTGCTACAGCCATTTGGTATTATTTCCATACCACCTTGGCATAAGCTTATTGATAAATGATAACACATAACTCGGTCATATTTTGTCTAATTTCTTAGGCAATTAAGTGTCACAATCATCATATTTTCCTTACCTTTTCTCTTTTTAATAATTTCTATGCCTGGTTGGGAGCTTTGAGGCTTATTTCAGAACTTGATATGACTATAATCAATTTTGGGTTGATTTGGAGGCTTATCTCAAGGCATTTTTGAGAGTGCAGAATTGTGGACGAAATCAAGAGCTGCAAGAAACTTTGTGATTAGCAATAGGTGAATGAGTTGGTTTTCTAAAATTGCTAGAGGGATTTTAGCGTGTGACATCACTTTTAGCCTTAAGCGTCCGAGGAAAATTGATAGGTTTATTTTAGTTCTAACATTGTAAAAGGGTTTGAATTCCACCTAAAAGAATTCAACTTGTGGTTAGATTAACCAATAAGAAAAAGTCTAGGAAAACTAGGTCTCAAAAGAGATCAGTGTTGCTATAGTTTTCCCTAAGGTCCTTAGTCCACTAACTGTATTAGTAAACATTTCATAAATTTCAACAATATTCTCAATTTCATTCATTTTAAACACCACGTCATCCTTGACTATCAGTCTAATTAGAGTATCCCCACCCAAGATGTACCTTCATATGTTACGTCTAGGGTGTCCAAGATTTCCTTTCTTGATATGCACATAGACATCTTCCCGAATTCATCTCTTCAGAGATCAGTGTTGCTATAGTTTTTCCCTAAGGTCCTTAGTCCACTAACTGTATTAGTAAACATTTCATAAATTTCAACAATATTCTCGGTTTCATTGATTTTAAACACCTTGTAATCCTTGACTATCAGTCTAATTAGAGTATCCTTCACCCAAGATGCACCTTCGTATGTTTCCTAGGGTGTCCAAGCTTTCCTTTTTTGATATGCACATAGACATCTTCCAGAATTCCTCTTTTTAGAGAGCAAATTGGAGGATGTGATTGGCTTTGACATTGGTTTGCAACTTCTTGAGATTTCTTCTATCCATGCATCGAATTCATTGTCGACCTTTCCGGACTCTTCTCAATGTGGATCCAGACCTTCATGTCATACACATGAAAACAATCCTCCATGCATCCTTTCATAAGGTGTAACTATTCCTATCCAATTTTGGCAGTCATGTTGCAGATTGGCCTTCGAGTTAGTTTCCTGGTGGCAGATGCTATGGAACATGATTGAGGAATTGGAAGCATCCATTTTGCGCTCGCTTACTCTCCAGAGGCCTTCTCTAATACCAATTGAAGAACTCCAACAACAGTATATTTATTCTCGCAGATCATCTAAGTAAATTTGATCCCAAGCTAGATCCTACAATTTTCTTATGTTATTTCAATAAAGCACATCCTATAAGGTCTTTAATGAACAAACTCACAAAGTAGAAGAATCAAGCCACGTTATGTTCAATGACTTTCCTGAAGAAATTTTAGAACAAGAGGATAAACTTCAGATTATCGCCTTCAATACTACTAATGTAAGACAAAACTCACAAAATTCTCAAAATCATGAAGATGAAACTGTCCTACTCCAGAGACTTATAATCATATTTTGGATTGGTCATACCTTAATGTGGTGAGCTATAAAGCTAGACACCGACTATCCTACTACCCTAACTAGGTCAGGCATAACCTAGTCAGGTGTTGTAGCAAAGTGGTAATCAATGTCGTATTTTTCCAGGCAAGGAGCTTAGTGCTACTCGAGAGCTTAGTCGTTATCTAGTCGATTTTTTTTTTTTTTGGATTAAACACTCAACTAACTACTACACAAGTATTCGTAAAATAGAAATGCTATATGGGGGTTGGTTCCCTCCCCCTAACATGATATGTCATGCATTGTAATAGAAAAATACAGACCATCTATGGAAAATTATGGTGCGAGAATCACTAAACTAGAAACTAGTGCAATGATCATGTCTCCTAGCCCCACATTGCTACACCCACCAACTCTATCATCATGTAATTGGTATTTTAAGTTTATGGTTAAGTCTATCCTCTTTAAATGGATTTAACCCATAAGCACGCAATCCTAATGTCTCAATGAACATGTAACCACCAAAAAGGCATAGATTGAGTGTGTCCCTACAGAACTTAGATGAATGATCATCTACTCTAAGTTAAGCCCTTAAATCATCACATAAAATTAACACATGCAATTCAACACCCCATGAAATTAAATTATTCAACTAAACTTAAGTGTTGATGCGTAATAAACATGTAAGTGATAAAAGCCCTAGGTTATCATAGGATCGTATCCCACAAGGTCTTGTAATGCATATCTACTCACACCATACCATCTATGCTCAACACAAAATAGACAAGCTTCTTTAGGGGTTCTCATTCGACGAACAAGCAAAGCAAGGAAAGGTAAAGTTGTACAGGGGTTTCAAGTTATAGATGCATTAAGGTAAAGGTAAGTTATTGAACAAGAAGTTATACTCGAGCATTATGATACATACTAAGAGGCTCAATCATATCATGCATCAATGGCTAATCGATAGCATCGCTATATCCCTTCCACTAAGGCCATCCTACTCGAGCTTTTGCCACAAGCAATTGGAACTTCACTAGCTAATGTGGGCCTCTTGAGCCATAATCGATGGTCTATAACATCAATGTTCTTACAATCAAGCATTGATACTAATTGAGGTATAAATGGTTGATCATTCCCTCTAAACTCGTTCAACATAAGTGGGGTGTCCCTAGATTGTAATTTCTCAACAACCTAGAGGATACTAAAACAATCCATATAGTGGCTGATTCTGGCCTAAATGTACACTTTTTATCCCCATTTCTCTTTGACGTTTGTGGCAATTGTACTCCAAAAAGTGTGATTTTACGCTAGGTTTCTTGTGTTTCAATGTGTTTCAGAGTCAAACAGGTGAAACCAACCCCGAAGTAGAAAGTTGGAAGCAAAGGAGCAAAGATAGCGCAAAGAGGAGTAATCAGCCGCAATTCACGGTCAAACATTGGAGTTCACGGTCGCTAGAACCCGTGAACTGGAACCACAAACCATGAACTGCGAAGCGTCCAGAGAGGTTTCCGAGGTTACGGAGGCTGAGGCAGTTCACGGTCGCTAAGACCGTGAACTGGGGCCATGGACCGTGAACCCCATGAGTTAAGCGGCACGTTTTGATTAGAGTTCACAGACGCGGTCTGATGTTCACGCCCGTGAACTGGGACCATGAACGGAGCGCGATCTGATTATAAATAGAGAGTTGGAAGGAGAAGAAGGAGAGCCCAAATTGAGAGAAAGCTTCTTCTTCTTGAAACCCTAGAGAGAGAAAGTCACGAACCAAGAGGGAGAAGAGGCTAGGGTTTGCTCCAAGTCAAGAATTGGGAAGTTCCTCTTCAAGGGAGGATCTCTACATGCACAAAGGAGGATTGAGGCATCATCCATGATGGTTTTCCCCCTTTCCTTTGTGTTCTTCCTTCTTCTATCATAGAGTAGTCTCCTATTCACTTGGGTGTTTAGAACCCTAACTTATACCATGTAGCTACTTTTGTAGATTGAATGATTTTGTGTGGTAATATGATCAGGAATTTCTCCAATTCGAAGCTTAAATTGCTTGTCCAAGAAGCTAACCCAACCCAATTGAATTATGTAGAAAATTGGGTAAGTCCTTTGACGAGTTTAGATGGGGTACGTTAGGGACTTGGTTCTTTCGATCCGGTCAGTGGAAATGTGAGTTGGGTGGTTTGTTTTGAAGTTCAAGATCTCTCCTATAAGGTTGAGTGTTTGGCAGCTCGAGGACGAGCTTGGAAGGTCCATTTTAAGGCTCGACAAAGGGTTGTCTCGACACAGGGAAATTGTCAAAATCTGTCTACGTACAAAATGGTGTTCAACATAGCGACTTTGAAGCTTCATTCCAGGCGGATGGTGATGAGTCGAGTATGGAGCATCATGCTACATGAAAGTGTGTATTTTACTCTGCAAAGGAGGGGCATTGGATGATGGGAGGCATACTTGTAAGACATTGTTCGAGAGCCTCAAAGATGGTATCAAGGCTGCTCGATGACTTAGAGCTGAAGGCAAAGCTACTATCCTTGTTTGATTCGGTTTAGTGTTCCTTGTGAGTT